ATTGTAGATGACTGACATACGCATATAAAGACGTAACCTGATTTTCCAAATAAATGGGCAATAAAAATGATTTATTATTAGTAGAATAATATTATTATCGATTCGAACTTCGAAATTGGTAATTATATTTTGAATGTCTCGTTTCCAAGTAGGTAGTTACCTACCTGTTCTCTAGATACTTCCCGTATTTTAAATACAGGTCTAAGTACTTGTCTATCTAATTGTTGTACATTTTATAAAGTTTATTAAGTCTAATAATCACATCTCACATCTCCTATGATTAACATTCAAACTCGTTTCTGTACTATAATCTGATTACTCATGCCAATATAAAAGACCATCTATGCACAGCAATCCTCGATAACCTTTAGATAACTTTGTTGTTGAAACTAGAAACTAGCGACCATACCTTAATTAAGAGCTAACAGAACATTAGCATCAATTAAGTGCTACTTGCCTAAATACTTGAATGCATTTACATAAATGTCTTAATCCGCAGGAAATTGGCCTCATTGCGATAATGCGAAATTAATTTTCATTTCGTCAGTATGAAAAGTTCAACAGGATCTAAGATTATGAATTTGTACATAGTATTGTATGTAGCTACATGAGAATTAAAAATATTCTTTTTTTTTTTTTTTTTTTTTAATCTTTATTTAATAAGAAGGGCTTTTTTCCGTAGAGGAAAATGTCAGCCCTATTATAGGATACAAAATTCAATACAAAAAATAAAGCAGCTAAACCTTTTGTAGGTTTAACTATCCCTTAAGCTCAAACACAAATTAATTAAACTATACAATTTTTTAGCGTCGGATGACAATGGTGACGCTAAAACACTGTTATAAAAACCAATATTAAGGCACTTAAAACTAAAAACCTGATTCCTCTGAGACTCAATACGTCGACACTCATACAAAATGTGTTGCACATCCTCTACAACATCACATACAGCACAATTTGGTGATTCGACTTTACGCATCATGAATCCGAAACTATTAAGAGGCATGTGTCCAGATCGGAGCCTTAAAGCTGTGACGATATCTTGTCTACTCAACCCGCCTTCACCGAACCAGAGGGCACGAGGAAGCGTCGGTTGTATTGTTTTAAAAAATATTCTTGGTACGTCCTACGCACCCATCAAGTAGGTCTGTTTAGAAACTCAACTAAGAGTTTCGTAATGTAATCAAATATACAGATAGGCATTTGTATAGTGCAACAATGGAATAAGAATAAGGTATGCGATAATATCTACATTCGTTGGATAAATTGAGTCAGGTGTTATAAGCCATATTACTTACAAGGTTCATGATACTACTTGGAAAGTGTGCCAGTTCACTGGTTGCACTGTAAATTCCTTCTACCAAATTGGGCTTAAACAAAAGTTAGTCGGTTATATCGTTTAGTAAGACAGAACAAAAGAAATCAGCTGTACTGATAACTTACTCAAATTATTGGCAAAGACGACTTATAAGATTTTTTTATTGATTTTAGTTAGAAACCCAATGCTAGATGTTCTGAAATTCCCTTAAAATCATGATGAATTTAATCAATAAAAAGACGAGTTTTAATTATTGTTTTTCTGTTATTCCAGATATGTACGCTGTGCGTAATCACAGCCTATGCGCAATACAATGACTCACCAGCCCCGCCACGACTGCAGATACCGGGTGCGATCCCAGTCGGCGGACCCAGGCAAGGAGGTTATAGACAGGGACGCCTACAAGCGTCCCCACTCGGCCCAGCAAGAATCAGGCGGCCGGGCTTAGCCAGACCATCGTTCAAATCTGTTGACGCTTCACCAAGACCGAGCCTTCAGTCTCTTGATGAGCCTGCAAAACCGGTTACTGAAGAACCAGAAGATGAATTAGAAATCAATACACCAACTGCTTTCTCACCAAATATATTCTCGACGGCCGAACCGCAAAACGACTACTTTGATATAACGACCACATCTCAGCCCAAACCACCAATTGTTTACAACCAATCGCCATTCCCACAATCGACGCCGTCGTCAATTCGTCAACCATTGGAACCTATTAAGCCTACACAGTACCGACCATTACTGGCTCCCCAAGCTTTCAACCCTGTCAGAAATGAACCACTCAACAAGCCACAACCAGTGAGGCTGCAGCCTCTTTCAAGCAGACCCCAGAGGCCTGTATTCAGACCCGAACCCAAACCATTCATTGAAGATGACGAGGCACCTATCCAGCCGGTAAGACAGTACTCACGACCACAAGAACCTATTAACAGGGCACCTCCCAAGGCCCCTCAGCAAAAATACACCCCCTCACACCAAAGAGAGAAGAAGCCTGTCGCGCAAATCATCCGTAAATACAGAGATGAAAATGAAGATGGCAGTATCACGTGGGGATTCGAAAACGACGATGGATCGTTCAAGGAAGAGACCATCGGCGTTGACTGCATCACTCGTGGCAAATACGGGTACGTTGATCCTGATGGATTAAAGCGTGAGTACAATTACGAAACCGGTATTCCTTGCGACAAAGCAAAGGAAGAACAGGACGAGAAAGGTTTCGTAGATTACCAGGAAAATAAGGCTGTATTACCTAATGGAATTACCATTGATCTCGCTGCAATGGGCAAGAAATCTAAGAGGCCATTCAGATCACCCGTAAATCATTAGGTTAAGTTTACATTAAATATATTTATTTTAGGAACAATCTAAATATAAGGACATTTTTCGTTGTCTCGTCATGTAAGTGTTATGTGCAACATAACATTTCATTCAATTCAAGTGGGTTTACATGTGCCTTGAATGTACATATAAATGAAAGATGAAAATAATAAAAATAAAAAAATTAAAGTTTCGTTTTACTACTTTAGCAAAATAATTAATTAATGTTACTTGAAACAATATCAGTAACAGTGAATAATTTGGATATTAATTTATGTGAAATTATTTTATTTATTTATTTATTTTCAGCCATGATCGTCCCACTGCAGGGCAAAGGCCTCCTTACCCTCCTTCCACTCCTCTCTATGTAAAGCTTTTTGCGGCCAATCCTTGTCATAGATGTCTAATTCGTCCCACCATCTCGTTTTGGGCAAATTTGTTTAAAATGATAATACAATTTGTTTAATGTAAAAGATGTAAAAAGTACAATCTATTTTCATTAAGGAAGTCAAAGACTGGCAAAGTAAACTGGATGTTGTTACACAATGGGTTTCTATTACAGGTTAAACATATAGATTCTAAATGAAAACAGAGATAGACTTGTAAAATTAGTTTCATTTATTGTGTTATCTTAAAACATTAACTTACGACTAAGGTAAATTTAATAAGGGCGATTATTCATGTAGGGCTGTGCACGTCTCATTGGAGGTGGCATTCTATTTGGTGGTGTTATTGATATATCCAAATAGTTCCCTATTTGGAACTTAACCTGACTTAATGTTTTGTTGTCATCTCCTCCCCGCTGTCCTGAACATGTGACACCAATCTCTCTCATTCTATATGTCGGTGACCTCATATCTGGGTACACAATTGCAAAGTCAAAATATGTTCCTTTACGTCTAGTCTCTGGATTCACTTCTTTGACTAGTCCTGTCAGTTCACGAAGTGTAGCGTCCATCCATGTGTAAATCTGTAGTTCATTCTGAGGCACATTACCTCTTGCATAATCACCAGGCGAGTTATGACGGCCAGTTGAACAAAACACGCGTAATAGTAATGGACAAGTCTGTAACAAAAATAACATGCAACAATTAAGGCCAGGTATATATTTCTGAGATGTAGGTACCTCCTTTGATAATAAAGATGCTCTAAACACTTCAACTTCAAGCAATTTTATCAAATGCGCCAGATTTATGTCAGCATGCATGATAGATATTATCAATTTAGCATAATAACATAAAATGGATTGTAAATAGTTGTACTTCTTACCTTCTCCCTATCGACCGGTTTCTCTACAGGCTTAACCTCTTCAACTACCATGGACTCTAGTCCTGCCATTTTCATAATAAAATTTAATAACAAATATATTAGTCACGTCTTATATTTCTTCAAATGACTGCTTTGAAAATATTTGAAATAATCAATGGATTTCCAAAGCTAAAAAATTATTTCAGTTTGACAAGTAAACATGTTTTATTTGGCTATGAATAGAGTGAATCATAGAGTAAAAGTGTTATATGTAATCTCTATGGTTGAGTATTATTATTCAAGACTCTACTCCATTTATGAAATAAGAATCACTCGGGTCTCGGGTCACGTTCGTGTCATAATCGTTTGAATAATAACGAAATCAGGATCAATCAGGGTAAGATTTTAAATTTCACAATTTCTATTTTTGGCTTTCATCACCTTTGTAGCTATGGGTTAGGTAATATAATTATAATTATTATCGTGCAAGATATTTTATCAGCGAATTAGCGATTGAAAGATAAATACCATTCTTTTGATACCAACCAGATACCCAAATATTATCTGATGAATTTATTTAATTACATTACATTAGATTTAAAAAAGCAGTATTTAAAGTAGGTACTTATATATAATCGTAATGTTACGTATAATAATCATTATATAATGGGGCTCCTTTTTTATTGGAGTAGGAAAATTTTATGAACAGCTGAAAGGTATTTATATTTTTTTACCGGACTATAATCTACTACCAAAAACTTGCTAGTAAGTTCCAATGTACTTAACCTTATGAATCGTATGCATGTTATGTTTTCAACTTGATTTCAAAATACCAATTTGAATAATTACTAATAAATTAATTTAAAAAAATATCAATGAAGATATTACTTAAGATATAATTTTGAAAACAACAATAATTTGACATTTCTCATGCTGACTGACCTGTCAAATGGCATTCACTGACAGAAGAAAATAGTAGCTCTATCTAATCGATATAAAATAAAAATACATTCTGTACGTTGATACTGATATTATGCTTTTATATAGTGAATCAAATAACATTGAAAGTCTGTAATACAAGTGCGTGTTTAGCGTGGTAGATAGCTTTGCTATAATGGCTCATAAGGAGGATGAAGACTCATTTCGAGAAGACGACGTATACATCAATCCAGAAGATGGAATGCCTAACGTACATCCTAATATTGCTAATTTAGAACAAGAGAGCGATGTGCAGGATGAAGTTGACAATTTCGATGACTTGCCAAAGTCTGTTATTGTAACAAACATACACAGTGATGTTTTTGCTGATGAAAAGTTGAAGAAAGGAATGGAAGATTTATTCCGCACATTTTCTGATAATATAACGTTCCAGTGGCTACGCAGTTTTAAGCGTTTACGTGTAAACTATGACAGTCCATTGGCTGCTGCTAATGCTCGAGTGCAATTGCATCAATATCAGTTTCATAATTCGCCGATCAATTGTTACTTCGCGCAACCTGTGACGCCTGTTTCAATAAAGAATCTGAGACCTCCAGCTCCTGTAAAACAATTTCTGATCTCCCCTCCATCTAGTCCTCCAGTGGGTTGGGAGCCACGTGAAGAAAATGAGCCATTGGTAAATCATGATTTACTGGCAGCATTAGCCAGCCTAGCTCCTGGTGAGAGTCATGAACTGCATGCACCTACACCTACACAACCTGCTATCATTGTGCACACTGCTGTGACATCAGAGCAGACCCCGGTTGTAGCAAAGATACCTCATACTCGTTGTCCGGATTATTGAATGCCTTTTGAAGAAAATCTAGTGACTATGAATTAGATTAGTAGTAATTTATGAATGCTTTTTATTCAATTGCATGTCAATTTTTATGACAAGTTGAGCCTAAGACATTACAGCTGTCTGAGAGTTTGCTGTAAAGTGAAAGCTCCAGAAAAAAATGAGCTTTAGAAATTTATTAACAAAGTTAGACTAATAGTAGTTTGCTTGTTGAGACGGATATTTATTTAACAGAAATTACACATAATTAAATTGGTGCTATGTTTTATCAAAAGTATATTAATTAAAAATTGCTTATTTTTACTTTAGTTATACAATTCACTGTCATTTTTTAAACGTAATAGGGTTCATCACTTCATTATCGTTTAAGATTCCATTTTAAAGTATGGACAATAGTTGGAAACATATCAGAAAGCAAGCCTTCTAAATATATATTAACTCCGTAAATAAGGTGGTTGCTCAATGAAATTGGTGTGTAATTCATAAAAATTGTATTAATTTTCTAAAATTAACTATTTTCTATAATTCAGACAATTTCATAAATAAGTCTGTTGTGTGTCGGAAAGCAGATCCACACAAGACAAAATGCATTTTCGGCAGTCAAGAAGTTAACTGGAATAGATTGGCTATGTGTACACCAGATTGGCAAACAAGAAAACTTACTAAATACAGAAATAGTATTTAATAACTTACTAGTATTTTATTATTCACATTTATATTTAGTTTGTGGACTTGTAAGCTATCCTATATTCTTGAAACATGCTCTCTTGTCAGCTGTCTTTGAAAATTTGTATAGAAATTTTAAATAAATTCTTGTAAATTAGAATAAAAATTGACTTTAATTTTTTTTTCTACAGCCACCTTTGGTTGTAATATTTTTTGTTGTGTCAATAGTAAATTGTTAAAGTCCATGTACACATTATATAATTTATTAAACAGGATCACTTGTTGTGTAATCTCAATTTTTTATTGTTACTAACTTATTTTAAATTATTCTTAGTTACCATTTGATTTTGTAACCAAAATTTTTGCTTCAATTTTACTAAAAAAATATATTGTAAAAAATTAGTAGCATTAGAATTTTGTGATAATATGTCTAAATAAATGTTGAATTTGTTGTTCATGTGGGTACATATGCCTAAAATGTTTGAATGGTTCAATGTAAACTTGTATTTCATAATAATTTAATTGAAAATGAGACAAGAAATGTGCAGCAGCATTTGCTATAGATGTTTCTGTAATTGAATTCACTATATAATACAACAATTCAACAATTCTGCACTGGTCTTTGAATATTATGTCAATTTTTTATTTATTTTCAACATTGAACTGTTTAAATATAACACATTTCTTAAAAACCAGAGAAATTATTAATGTTAAAAATATGTACCTATTGTTAGAATTAATATTGTTGTAGTTTTTATAAACATTTTACAAGTAGTAACTTGGCAAGCTTTCGGGAAGCTGTACCTATCTCTCGAGATACAAATTATAAATATTGTGAAAGTTCCTTTGTTATTTTTAGATACATTTATTTGAAAGATTGGCACTGCACAGGCACTATTTGCGAGGGCCACATGATATTAGAGTTGAATTTAAATGAACCAACTATTGCATTTTCTAGTTATACTCGTACATACCTAAGGGTATGTCAGGCAATTAGTACCTAGTAGTGGTAACACATACACGTAGGATTTTCTTATTTATTAAAGGCTTCAAAGACCTATTTAAATCATTAGCGTCATTGTTGTGATTCGCCATGTTTGGCGCACAAAAATATTTTGATGAATTTGTTCCGAATTGGACCATGTTGAAGGAAATGTTAGGATTTCGATATTTTTACGAAGAAACAGTCAAATGCGAAGGTTATTAAAAGATCTATAATAGAAGACATTTGGTTTTTGCTTTTTCTCTGTTTGTTAGTACCAATCTACCTATTTATTAGTATTTATTTGTTCTGTTTAGGAAATCATGAATTAAAATTTAAAAAATAATTTATTGTAATTTCTGAGGAGGACTGCTGTTTTAGTGTAAAATTGCTGTCTTTTAGTGTTTTCACACACTAACTACTAGATAATATTTTCGTAAGATTTATCGTAATAAATTTAGAGCTTTTAGTGCATGTAGATACTTATCATTTGAATGAAAATCCATCATTCAAAATTGTGTTAAGATTTAAACCAAATTAAAAATAAATTATCTAAGAACTAAGAAAAAATAAAAATGTCTCATTTACCTACATTTGAAAGCATTTTCATCTATTAAGTTACGAGACTGTAAAGTTCCCCGCAGACTGAAAAGGAAATTCACTGAAAATTATTAAAAAATATGAAGCTATCCATCTCAAAACTCCGTAAGAATTGCAATTACGTTCTAGTATATTTCCGTTTGTAGTCTGCGGTAGATCTAAATCAACCATAATTATTGGCATAAGTATCTATGTATAATAAACTATCTATGATATGTATGTACATTGACTGAAATGACGAAAGAATATCAGATCGACTGGTAGGTATGAAGTACTACCTTTTAATCTCTTATGAATTTCGGCAAAGTTTCAGGTTGACCAATCTTCAAACTACTTTCTTTTGTAAATAATTACTATTCAAAACCATTTACAATCAGTCAAGTTATTTGGTATGCATGTAAGATTATTTTTGCCTGAATGCCGCATTTTGGGCGGAAGGAGCAATTTGAAAATATCCATCTAATTATTAGGTTTTCGGCTTACGTAGCTGTTTGACGAGGAACTCGACTAGTTTCAAGCCATGCTAGCTCATGGTCATGAGCAGCATTCCGCGACACGCGACGCGACGACTGTCGCGCTGCTACTGAATATGAGCCTCTAGCATGGCTTGAAACTAGTTGAGTTCCTCGTCAAACAGTAAAGTGAGTAAGCCGTAACCATAATAATTAATTTAGTATGTCTTACGGAAGTTTAAATATAAACATTTCTATCCTTACAAAAAAGTTAAGAAAATTATAATTTTCTTTTCCGCTTAGGTACATACCTACTAAATAACTTGGCACTGATTGTACTTATAGGTGCCTAATTGCGGCTCGTTTCAGGGCCTGATATATTTTGACATCCATAGTTTAAAGTGAAATTTTGTAGGTTTACGATTAAATTTCTTATTTCCTTAACTTTGAGCTAGGGCTGGTCCAAGTCATAAGAAAGTTAAAATTGTTTTAAGAACTTTACTATCTGTGTTGATTATAGAATTTGTGAATTGTCTTATAAAATGTACTGTATAGTGTTACAATAATAGAAAAACAAGCACAGATAAGTGACTGTCCATTTGTTTATGAGTCAACGATGAGATGGGCAATCAGCATGCCAGGATTGTATCTACTATACATAATTATGTACCTACTGTTAAAACATTCTCTATGTCGTTAATCCTCTCCTTGTACAAAAATCGTCAGTGTAAAAGGGTTTTTGCCCGTTGTGAATCATTAATATTTACCTAAGTATGCTTATATCTTCTATATGTTCGTTGTTCATACATCGATGTATCATCTATTGATGTTTTTAATCTCACTGTGATTTTCATTATTGTTTGTGTAAATATAAAATTATAATGAGTTTTATATCGACTTTTATTAAATGAAACCAACATCTCGTGTAGATCATATCTATAATTTATTTTAGGTATGTACATTTTTTTACAAAATAAGTAATACAACGAATTTCTTGTAACTACAATATTAATATCACACCAGATCACGAGATTCACGAGCACCAGTATGCTACCAATCTAAGCTTAATATCAACACATAATTTATAATAAACAATAAAAACACAAATAACAAAATAGTTTAAACTTTATAAAAATAATCGTAACACCTAATTTATAAATGTAGGTAGGTATTTATTTTGGTGATACAATACTGCCAGGATATTAAATGTGTGAATGTTGACACGACATAGTTCCAGGTTCCAGTTCTTTCATCTAATGTGTTCCAAAATTCACAACAAAATTCTGCTTAAAACTAATTAAACACTCAAACTAACAGAACTTCTTGTATATATAAGAAAACAGTAGGTACCTACAACTGACCTCACATGAGTAGGTACTAGGTACCTGCTTTGTTCGATCGTATAACTTTATTTACTTACATAAAATTGAAGCTCTTGTATACTTACATTTAAAAAATTGTATATTTAATTTATTTATTCAACCAATAGGAACCGAGGAGCGATCAAACTTTCTTACTCCCGTCCTCTAAAGGCACCATTGATTCAGCAACTTTATTGTCCTCAGAGTAAGTTCTTTGTCTTTTATTTCCTAAGCAACTTGCAAAACATGTGTCGCCTTTGCCAAACTGTTCACCATCAGCAAGAGACTGAGGCATAGGTTGGTTCATAGTCTCCGGTAGGAACATACATAGGAATCCAGATAAAACAGCAACTGCGCCAAACGTTATAGCCGGAATTTTAGGATTGAAAGAATCCAACAGCGTTATAAGTGGTGTTAAAGCACCAGAAAGCCTAGCGCACATAGAACCCAGTCCCATAGCTGAGTTACGTACTACTGTAGGGAACAATTCAGCAGAATAATTGTATATGATAGCGAAAGAACCTGCTATAAACAATTTACCTGCAATGACAATCCCAGTAGATATCGTACTTCCAGTAGGTAAGAATGTAGCAATGACACATGCTGCACCACCCACCAGCATCATAGAACTAATCAGTGGTCTTCTACCCCAAATATCAAGGAAATAAATGACAGCGGCATAACTTGGCAATTCTACAAAACCTAAAATAGCTGTAATCAAATACGGATTGCCCTCAAGTTTACCTGTACTTAAAGTAAGACCATAGTAAGCAATTGAGTTAGCAAACCAACAGAAGCAAACGTTCAAGGTTTTGTTTCTAAGATTAGGTGTTCTAACAGATCTCCCGTACTAGCGGAAGGCGCATCTGTTCCTTTCGATGCTTCAGCTCGTCCTTTAGAAACCAGTTCGGCTCTATCCAGTGTAAATTCAGATTTGTTGCATTTCAAAGCTCTTTCAACAATGTCTACTGATTCTTTTGATCGGCCTTGAGCCCACAACCAACGAGGGGATTCATCCATAATCCAGATATGTGGGATAAGAAGAAGACTGTGAAGTCCATATATTACTTGAAGAATTTGTCTATTGTCAATAAGGGCGCCCCATCCCGCGACTAACATAATGCCACCTGCGAATGCCGCTTGAAAAGCGACACCACACGCAGTTCGCTTGCTGGCCCCAACTAATTCCATAGTTAAAACGAATCCGGTAATATACGACCCTGCAGATCCGAAGATTCCGTAAACAAAGCGTACTGCTAAGAAGGACCAGTATTCAGGTATAAAAGCAACCATCACACCGAATACCAACTGTAATACTCCAGACCAACAAAATATGGTCTTTCTACCGTATTTGTCAGCCATTCCTCCTAAAACTACAGCTCCAGTAAAAACTCCTAACATATAAATAGATTGAGCTAGTGCACCCATCCATCTTCTATCACATACGAGATCCCACTCCATGGAACGTGAAGATGTTCTATACTTAGTGTCGAATACGAATTTGGAGCATGTTGTAGTTTCGTTATTTTCATAAATATAGCAGTTAGATAGACCTCCAGATACGGTTCTAGGTATAGCAGCTAATATTTCAGAAGAGTTCCATGCTGCTACAGACACATTTGTATCTACGCCGTCGACCCAGCACCTGCAAATGAAAAAAAAAAGTCAATACCCACGGAAAAATCAATGCGTAGAAATAGTTTAACGTGTCATCCATCTTTTTTTAATTAGTATGAGATTATAGGATATTTGTAGCCTATTTATTTACCAATCCACTAGTTTGTAGTCTAGTAACACTTACTCATTTGACGCAACTACCTACTGTGCCTTTTTCATAAGGTAATGTGCTATTCTTAGTTAAAGGTGCTATGAGGGTAAAACGAAATTATGGAGCACCGTGACTTACCATTTAATAGTAGCAAGTTACCAGTTAATGATAGGTAAAGATAAAATCTAACGGAAAAGTCACCTAACGTAAAACCTACTGGTCACTTACATTATTAATAAAACAATTAATACTGACCTCATGTAGCGCCTACTCCCTTTTCATAGCAATACTCCGTTTCTAAGTAATTATATTAGGTATGTACCTAACTTAATAATTAGGTACGTTTAACGACCTACGAGAGACAAGGAGGAACCTACGTGACAATTAAATATTAATGTTAGGTACTACTTGATAATTTACTGATTTTAGCTGGAGTAAATTGTTACGAATTAGTGTTTTTGTTAAGTTTGCCATTAATTCGCTTCGTATAATTACTACAAGTCACGTCACCTTGGCCGCTTTGTAGTGAATGAGCGCCTTATTCTCAATAGATAGCAAAAACCTTAGAGTGTGAAATAAAAATTTGCAAGACCTTGTCTAATATTTACAAACAACTGGAAAGCTGGAAAATTTACTCTATGATATCAATATTTTTCTAAGATATAGGTATTAAGAAATTAAAAGGTCATTTTTTCCAAATTGGTACAATTAGTTGTTAATTAATAATTATGTTCCAATAGTTATTTCTTTTATTTGTCAATTAGTTTCCCTGTGTCCCATACTTAACCATTTTTGATTTATCTAAATGCATACAGTAGGTTGGTAAACCTACTATCGGAAACAAGCTATGAAAGACAAATTTTAAAACTTATTTATAGTTGGTCCTCGCTATTTGTTCCTCTTTCTACTCATACATATGTAGCAATGCCATACTGAGTCTTCTGTTTGCTTTAACATTTTACTTACAGAAGCCTATTTCTGTTAGCTAACATAGGGAGGTATATCTGATACATTTCCTATGGAAGACACGTCAAACCATCTGTCAGTGACTACCCGAAACTTTAATAGAATTAGTGAAACAGAGCCTTTAGAATTAACACAAAATAAAAATACTACACTTGTAAAAAAATCTTTATTAAATTCGTGTACACCGTATATTTCATGCTTATCCTATATTGACATAGTCTTTAAAGTTCATTAAGTAGTAGATAATAATATGATACTTACATAAAATAATAGAAATTAAAACAGAAGCAACATGTTTAATGCATTTCTTAAAACAGATTTATAATTAATATTGATATTTTTCTGTTTTAATATAAATAATATAATTATTAATACTAATTTATAATATAAATTATATTAATAGTAAATGTATTAATAATATATTATTAATATTAAAACAGATGTATTTATTAAAATAGATGTAAAATGTTACCAACTTTTTAATAAACGCTTACTTTTGAACAAGACTGTTTGATACAAAGGTAATTAAGCAATTACCTACCTGTCCTACTTCATTGAATTTAATTTTATGCACAGATTACATTAAACAAAAACAACTCTCAAATAACTTAGCCATCAATTCATCTTCAGGATAAATATCGTTTCTTGTGAGTACTTAGATATTATGCAATTTTTTGACCCCAACATCGTAATTTCAGGCAAGCTATTTAATATGCAAGTAAAGATTGATGCAGTACAGTGACGATGCAAAAGATACGGCTTCGTTATAGAGCATAATTAATTTAGCTATAATTAACTCGTCGAGTACCGGTTTTATAGACACAATTAAAGAACAATAGGTCGCGGTCACCGGTAACCGCTTGGTGTTTGACAGTTTAATCTCCTTGCATACCAAATGACTTGGGTTTCGATCATTATCTTATTTTCGTTGTTCCACAAGTCTCATACTAAATTAATTGAAATATACGACTATACTGCTCATGGACATGAGTCCCGGTGCGACTTGAAATTGATAGATCTTTTCTCCAATAGTTCATGTAAGTAGAGATACCGTATGTTTCAATTAAGGAATACTCATTTCTATTTCTACCCATTCCTTTCTTTGGTCACTCATTCTTCACATCCACAAAACATATAATATTTTACATTAAAAGTTTTTTATTGCTCTTAACAAACCATATTTTTCCTGTAATACAATTTAGCACCTAATATATCCCTGTTTATGATACCTTGTTCTCTTTTCTTTATAACTTGTCCATTCAGTTATTTAATTAAAAAATGTTACTGCACACCATAAGTTTAAACAATACATTAATTTAAAACATTAGACACGTATTTTGTCTTTTCTCACAAAATTCAATACTTTCGACGATATATTAATTTGAAATATTGTGTGACGTCACAGCGTGACACATTTTGTAGCACATTATGACGTAACGACCTCCCACTCTTAAACTTAGCGCCATTTTATCTAAATATTGCAACTTAACTCGTCGAGTACCGGTTTTATAGACACAATTAAAGAACAATAGGTCGCGGTCACCGGTGACCGCTTGGTGTTTGACAGTTTAATACGAGAAAATAAAAAAATACGTGTCTAATATTTATTTATTATCTAACTGACGGACTAATTGGATTTTTAATTTTGATACCCTGGAAACTACCCAATTATTTTTCATTGAATTTTAAAACCAGTTATTGCTTTTTTCAGTCTTGGCTTAAGCTCGTGATCATTAAACAGGTACCTATACAAAAGATCCCTGGGTTGAAATTATAATTACGGTAAGTATTAATAAAACCGGTGATTCTTATATATAGCTACCTACTTTATGAAATTTCTTTATATAGAATAACACAGAATAATAATAAATATCCTGGCACTAATGAACACTTGAATATTTTATTCACGTGCTGTACTGTACGTATATTCTGTTACCAAGTAATAAAATGTAAAATGGGAATTGATTAAAGCTACCTAGTACTTAGAATCCAGCTATTTATAGTAAACCTCATAAGTGGTAGAGGTTATGCAGCGTGTGTCACCGATGTGGTTAATGTTTTTAATTTGAATACCGTGTAACTTTAACCAGGTAGTAATTGACAGTATTCAGGTTTAATAGAAGCAGTAATAGATAAATAATTTCTAATCCGATAAAAATGTGATATCTGATAAACACTGGGAATAATTTATTTCTACTCGACTCCTAGACTTAACCATACACATAAATGACTTGCTCATTAACGTCTAAATGCTACAAAATACCCTTAAATTGCTTTCTAAATAAATTAATTACATTGACGCTTGAAGCTTAGGTACTTATTTACTAAGTTATTAGTAAAATGTTTAGAGCATAAACTGGCAGTGCTGTTATGAGTATATATGTATGACCTTTATTGACTATGTTGCAGAGTAATAAATATAGATAGTTCAGTATTTAACGCAAAGGAAATAATTACATTAGCTTAAATAGCTTCTGGCTCCTGATTTGGTGCCTATTTGGATTTTTTTCTTAGTTACATATAAAATTGTAGAAAGAGAATGAATGTTTATACCAGTTAATAGCAATAAGTTCGTTCATTCATTACTACCCTGCGACATAGGGGCGCCTCCGAGTGTGGCATTATTCTAGCGCGAGCGTAGGCGTTACTCGACGTAGGCGTATCTTGGCGTGGCGCTTTGGGAAATTAGGGAGAATAAATATTTTATTGTTATGTATTTTTACACATTTTTCTGTATAAGCCCGTTTGCTGTTCGAAGTGTCCAAGAGATTGATCAGCTCTAATACTATCAATCAAGTCTAAATGCATAAACATGTACATTATAATTATGTAAAATAAAGTCGTGTATATATTTGGTTCCAATAAAGTATCTACGCCTATGTATGTATAAATGCGTAGAGACTACGCGTCCTGTAGCAAAGCGACTACGCGGCGTGTAGCACAGCGACTACGTAGCGCGTAACAGCGACTACGAGATATGTAGCACAGCGACTACGCAGCGTATAGCACAACTACTACGCCGTGTTTAATGTAGCGACTACGGGTGTATTGCTACAGCGCACGTAGTAATTACGCTTTACTACAAGGTTTTTACGCCATGCCTACGTCAGAGCTCGCTAGCCAAAAGTAAAATAGCCAAAATGACTAGGCGAATAAGTAAGTACAAGACTGATGTAAAAGACCAGAATTTGTAAGAGTTATTATTATTACCGATTAATTTTCCATAAACCGAAGACTATAAACAATGGCATTTTGATCTGCTTGGTTCTACTTTAATGCATGTAATACCAATAGCTTGTGCGTATTCTTCATTATCTATTTTCTAAGACACTATCAGTTATTAGAAACCTCGCTTTCAAGGAGAATCTTAGTGTTAACTACCGATTTATTACTAAAACTACCTTACGTTCTACTTGTTAATTTACTGCCAGGTATGAATTCTTTGTTATTTCGTATGATCACTGATTTAAAAATGTAAGTACAATACTAAAATATTTTTCAAAGTAATCAACATAAATTTTACTTATAAAAGATGTAATGTGACATTTAAACATTAAAAAATTTGTGGATGATCCGTCCAATACTTTTAGAATGTTGTTGTATTTGCAGTATTGTACTTAACTTCTACATGTGTACATTCAATTGTACTTTTCATTGCTTACTTATTACAATAATATATGTACTATTTTACTTGTTAGATAAGTCCACTTTATTATTATTCCTATTTGTTATTAGGATAATCATCCAGTCTTCAGCAATACCGTCCACACGAACGCGACTTGCCTGATATCAACTCTTGACTAGACAATTTAAAACATAACAGTAATCCTAACGCCATCTATTTACGTATATAACCACTTAATTACTAATTTCTTCGCAAAACAGTAATAGTTACATAACACAAGGGAACTTCACAGGATAAAATATTGTAAAGTTGTGTACAAATACCAGATAAAATTAAAATATTGAGCAAAGTTCATAAAATGCAAGCTTTACGTATGCTGTTCATTAATATGAGACATATATAGTCTTAAGTCATTACAATGGCCGTATTACTTGTATTGCTTATTCTTAAGACGCAGTTCTGGACTATGGCATGTGCAAAAGTTTTACCTATAGACCTTACAATACAGTACAGTCTTTACGGTTTCTTCTCCATAACTTCTAACGGCACCATTGTCTCTGGCAAGTCCACGGTGTCAGTACTCATTCGTCGACCACTGCAGTTTGTGAAGCAAGTGTCACCAACACCGAATTTCTCTCCGTCTTCTAACGATTGTGGTAAGTTCCTACCAATTGTTTCAGGTAGGAAGTATGTTGAGAAACCAGATAATAGGGCCAAAAATCCAAATAATATGGTAGGTATTTTAGGGTTAAGTGTATCCAGCAAGTTAATAAGTGGCGTTAGAGCGCCCGACACACTTGCGCACATACTGCCCAGCCCTACTCCTGAGCTGCGCACGACTGTCGGGAAAAGTTCTGCAGAATACTTGTATATAATTGAGTAGGAGCCAGATATAAATAATTTACCTACCATTACGATGCCTGTTGTTGCAGTCGAACCATGGGGCAAAGCAACAATGACTAGACAAGCGACTCCTCCTAACAACATCATAGTACTGATAAGAGCTCTATGTCCAACGCGGTCCAAAAAGTATACAATAAGAATGTAACTGGGTAGCTCTACGACTCCCATCAAGAACATGAGGAAGTAAGGGTTTCCGTTCAACTTGCCAGTATTTAGAGAGAGCCATAGTACACTACAGAATTAACGAACCAACAACCGCAAATGATGAGTGTCTTCTGCATCATTCTTGGTGTTTTAAACAAGTCAGTAGTTCCAGCAGAATGTTCATCAGTATATTTGGCACAAGTTGCCTTACAGTGGGATACTAGGGCTGGCGTATCAACAGGGTCAGTTACTCCATTGAATTTCAGAGCCTTCTCAATGATGGCAACAGATTCACGAGCACGCCCCTGAGCCCAGAGCCACCTTGGGGATTCGTCCATAATTAGCCAGTGAGGAAGCAATACGGCTGCGTGTAACGCATACACTATTTGTAAATAGAATCTGTTATCTAATAAGTATCCCCAAGCGGCTAAAAGCATTATTCCAATGGCGAACATGATTTGAAACGTTACACCACATATAGTGCGCTTACTTGGGCCAACTATTTCCATCGTCAAAACAAACCCAGCTATGTATGAACCGGATCCGAAGATACCGTAAAGGAATCGAATGATTATGAAAGTATAATAATCTGAGGCGAAAGCAACGGAAGTTCCTAGAAGGAGTTGAAGGATTCCAGACCAAAGGAATGCTTTTTTTCTTCCGAATTTGTCAGAAAGTCGCCCAAATATAAGCGAACCAGCCACCACGCCGAACATGTAGGCAGTCTGCGCTGAGGCTCCCATCCAACGACGGCTGCACACGAAGTCCCACTCGATGCCGCGAGACGACGAGTAATACTGGGTATCATAGACCCAAGAATCACATTCTACGAGAGTCTTATTATCTCCATACATCCGACAGGAGTCGAGTTTCCCGTGCTCGTTGAGTGGAATGGCGGCCTGAACCAGAGACGAATTAAACGGCGCCGTATAGTTTGGAAAGTCTATCCCTTGCAGGTAACATCTGAAATTCGAAAAACGAACTTTTATTGTTCTTACATTGTTTTTGTTAATTTCGTGCTGAGGCCGAGCGTGCGGTGCATTAAGTTAGTTGCAATTTTATTACTTTACGCCATTCTTACAAATGTGGTTAGACCTGTTTATGAACATAAGGGTGCACTTTTTATATCTATACTAATAAAAGCCGTGTGTTACGACTAAGAATAGCAATAAAGCACAATCTCTACATTATCTACTTCTACAATTTAAATTAAATCAAAATGTACTAAAGCTTTAGTTTGTTTGACATTAATTTGTGGAAGATTATTGTAAGTACATTCTTTACTTAGCGTCAAATAGTAGTATGATAGTAGAAAATAATATGTACCATGGTTTCACAGCATGACTCTCGCCAGTGCATGTGCACTTTGAAAAAGTTTAAATCTACAATGGCAAAACATGGTTATAAATATTCATATTATAATTCAGGTGCTTTTTCTTTCGTGCCACACGGAAACGTGTAATTTGGTGCAAGCCATAGTATGTGTGTGTAACACATTGCACAATGTGAAATGAATTGACATTGTATACATATTGAAAAAAGATTAGAAAGATAGTTTGTATGTAACGATACAATATCAATTTATTGAAATATCTTTCAGATAAACAGTAGCCCATACTACTGTTTACACATAACAAACGAAATAATGAGTTTACTTATAACCAGAACCATAACTTTGTTAATGATGATAGATAAATGGTGGTGATACAGAATTGAAATGTTAAAAAGCGACACATATAGCAAACCATAGCCCGGAACACAGACAATAATACGTTACAAAAGTATATACTTACGTTGAATATACCAACATATAAACGTCACCAATAATAATAATAGTCACTTTAATTTCTTGTAGAGATATAATAACGGACACCAAAGCCGATCCCACTGCCCACCATCCTTCAGATCAAGCAAAACTTTACACGCTGTGTGACCAGAAGCATATAATGTTATAAGACCCATACCATATCATTGTAGGAAGATCTATATAAAAGGAAATTTAGACTAGATAGCTGGACTATACACAATAATACAATACCATTTTCCCGGAGCCATCGGAACACAAAATATCGTAGACATACGTTACAAATACCCAAAAGTATGTAGGTAGATCTTAGTATGAATTCTCCTATCCTTTACATGCACATGCATAATACCTGAGTGCTCCTGTTTCATCGTAGCTACCTAACCTTCGATAGATATTTGACTACGTACAAACTGAATGAATTAATGTAATTTGAAAAATGACAGGACATGGCTAATTCGCTTACAATGATCGTGTTGACTTGTGCATAACGTAATAGTTTGTTTTGTCTAGTGTTTTGCATAAGTCAACAGAGGATTTTTATCACAAATGTGTGATGAATAGTCATCAAATATCTGTCTTTAGTTCATGACGCGTTCCCGAGTAGTTGGTTTGTGAATGATGATGCAACTGACCTATGTTCCGGTACCGCAGCCACTGTGACTAGGGACAGCATGTGCATACCAGCCGTCATGGCCGCCAAGATGTGGAGTATGAACTGGAAACATTGGTACCGCCCGAAGTCACCTGGAAACACCAAAATATATAGATCAAACAAAGAACTATTGATTTTCAGCTAAGTTTTCGGTTGCTATAAATAAACTATTGCGAAGGTGACCCTGTCTTATGGATGGTATGCTATTTAGGTTACGACAATATTTTTCTTGGTAGATAAGATAGGCCGGCGACACAACCATGGGATTTTATAATGTTAAACGACACCCGGAATTATGCCATCAATAATATCAAAACGTTTAATTTTTATTATCTACCATCGTAAAATGTGTCGGATTTCATTGTCATTTAAAAAGATATATTTCATAAGTTTACATAATACATAACGTTATCTAAGTATGTCGTAAAAATATAAAACAAACTCGGTACTTAATTTGTTAATTATAAACATTGAAATATTTTATGAAAATTACCCTTAAACATTAAAATTAAATGAACAGCTACAGATTTCCTCGTTATTATAGAACAAACCTAGTAAAACAATGTGTTCTTATATCAAACTAATTTGTTTACATGCCTAGCTTACACCTTGACTTTATTATGTACACAAAGCACCGCTAATTAGTTGCAGCGCTACACATCGACACAACTGTCATTTACACAGTGTACATGTGTGCGTAATTTCATATAACTGTATATAAAAATATTCGTCCACCACGTTCACATTGGTATTTTCATTCTTGTGTCGGTATACGTATTTTTATAATTTAATGCATAGGTAAGGTTAAAACTATTTACAATCATTGATATGACCCGACATTTTCACTGTCATTATCGTAGTGCTCGTGGTCGATTGGTTAATGAGCACGCTTTTATCGTCTTTCAAGGATCAATGATGTGGGTTCTATTCCAGCTAAAAGTTAATTTTATTTTACCTTGTTATTTTTCTTTTTTTTTTTTTTGTTTTTTGTCATAAAATATAAATATCAGGCTATAAAAGAAGCAAATGAGTTGGTAAATAAAACAATACTATTTTTTATTACAATTAATTTATTTATTATACAAATATGTTGTTTTATATTCAATATTTATATCTAATAATTAATTATATACCACATGTTAAGTTTAAAGTTCTTTAAATCATAATTAATAGATATGACAATAAACCTCATAGTCGAATCGGGAAATATCATGCGGTACAGCGGTAATACGATGGCAGCAACATTTTTTATTAAGTAGGTAATAAACAAATATACAACATTCTTGTTTTGTAATTTAATAATATAATGTATTATTAAATTACAGTTTTACAGTAATAAACAAGTAAAACATGTAAAAAATTACATGTCAACATAATATTTCTTGAAATGGGCGACTTTTTGTCGTTTGAACTTCCATTAATTATCTATTTTACGACGGTTGTTATAAGGTTCAATATTCAGTGGGCTGTATGATAGTAAAAAGAATGTGACGAATGCTATGGAACGATTTTAACTTTCATGACCTTTAGAATCAGGGAAACTTTAAATTAATTGAAGATGGGCGTAAATATAATATGTCAATCAAGTTCGAAAGCAGTTAAATAAATTTGTTAATGAAAAATTAAAGTGAAGTGAATAAACATGTTGAATAGAAAGAAATTATGACAATTTCTAACCACAAAACAATAACATCACTTCACCGTATGTTCTAGACAGCATTTTAATATTCTTAAAAAAATTAAACATTATTTTATGTTAATTTTAATAAAGGCAGAGTTTGACAGGCTCAATAATTGATTCCGAAATCAATACAATCACTGATCCTACAAGGCAGAAGGTTGCAATTCGTATACCTTTCTCCATCTTTTCTTCACAATATTTTACGCCCATCCTTATCCGACTTGAAAGTCTTTTCGTCGCTCAATATGATTACACTGTTCGCCCAATCAAAATTAATAAAGTCCTTAGCAAATTCTTAGCGCTTTTGCTGGTGAACCACAGATAACAATATTTTCTTCTCTGGCTTCCTGCACCTTAAACCAGAATGCAGGTGTCTCCGTACAGTTTGTATTAAAACATTCAGTGCTGTCGCTGTAGTGCGGGTTGGCAGGAACGGATCAGCCATGTGCCTGGCTACGATGTCGTAGTGCCGAGCCGATGAATTTGCCTTTGGTTTAGGCCCACGTCGACGATGTTTAACGTCACCGGTCTCCGCATATCTGTGCACCCATAACTGCATGGATCTCCTCTGTTGATACCAAACAAATAAGTATTTAAAATACCAGGAAATACTTTACAGGAATTAAAGTTACTTAAAAATAATAATAAATATAAGTAAACACAATGTTAGAATAATAATTTATAATTAAGTAGTGGCGTAAGGAATAAAAATCCCTAACCAGATATGTTTTAAAGAAACACTCCTAACAAAAACAAGTCAAGTTACAATACAATTAATAATAAATTATTAATATATCTTTATAATATTGAACTTCATAATAAGTTGCAATAATTATTTTATTCTAGTGCAAAAATTGATAGGTGTGTCGAGTTACAAAATGAAATAAATATTATTTAGAATATCAACGTAGTATCTTATTTACTCACCGATATCATTAAACGCCTTGCTATTTCAGTTATTGTTAGTTATGTTTTGCTCATGCAAAACAATGGTTTCAGCCTTTTTAAATGTTGATAGGTGTTGGAACATCTTGTAAAAATAAAAATAACTTTGCACACGAATATAAGTAGTGTAGCAATAAACTATGAAATCCTCATAAATTGACAACTAAGAACGCAATTATTTTGTAAGTCGGGTGATTTGAAAAACATGTTTTAAATAGTCGGTAGTTACTTCATAAGCGTGTAAAATAAAATGACTCGAGATTTCTATGGTCGCCACAAACATTGCAAATATACTCAGGTATCGAACCATTAAGAAATCACAGTTAATTACTTTTTTACTGTTTTTTCTTATTTAAGTTGGTTGAAATGCATGAAGCAAATGAGATTATTCTAAATAATAAATAACTAGAACTAAAATATAAATAAAAGATATTATAGGTATAAATAAATCTAAAGTATTTACTATTAAAATTAACATAAGATTTAGAACAATAGGAAAGGAAAAAAAAGAAAAGATTTAATTGTTTCTAATTTCAAATTTCAAATTTCATTTTTTGATAAATTAATTCTAAAACAACATGTGAATGTTGGAATCGATCCGGCGGCACTTTACATGACAATTGGAGGCGATAACCATTGCGCCAAGCGCGCTGTAGATGAGATCATCGAAATATTTTATATCATTCAGTAACATAAAATTACAATGAGAAAGCACTATATTTATATGGGTATTGTATAGCTCGATCGTTCATTATTTTTGATTTCGATTTATTCAAAGTTTGTTATGAGTAATTTTATCTTTACCCTCGTTTTTATTTAAACTTATTTACTAAATTATTGCGTATACCGACACAAAAATGATTTTTAAATACCAAGATGTGTGTGATAGACGAATGTTTCTATACATATCTATTGATATGAAATTACCCACACATGTATATTGTGTAAATGATAGTTGTGTCGATGTGTAGCGCCGCTAACTAATTAGCGGTGCTTTGTGTACCTATCTATTTATAATTTATTTATGATCATTTTAATTTCTATACCTCTACAAGGACGAATATATTTTAATATGAATGGTTAGTTACGTCAAAGACAGTAATGACATCCTCGTTGGCCATGTACGAATGTTAAACACGCGGTCCATGGTTCAATGCTCGATTTGACCAAATATTATGTTAAGGACTATTATTATATTGACGAGAAACTAGCACGTGTATATTTCAGCTTAGTTTTTTATATTATCTGTACCTAACGTATTATGCCAGTATGCCACATTAATTAAACTACATAAAGTTTATAATTATCAACAATATTATAACCGATATTGTGTTACATGTTTGTGGTAACGAAGTACTTTAATAAAAAATACCTACTATTTTACCTTGAACTTATTTCAACTCATGTGGAAGACAATATTTTACTTAGAGGTCACATTATTTTACATATTGTATTTATGTAAATAATAGGTAGGTAAGTATAGACATTGAATCGAGGCATAGAATTTTTTTCGTGCCGAATAACGCGCCATAAAAGTATTGTACAAAATTTGTACAGCAAACTGCGAATTGCAGTGACCGTACCGAGCCGAGGACTAAATATAGCCCTGCACGGTACCTACTATAATGGAAGGATATAAGTAACGCAATTAATATCAACAGCAGTAGGTACCGGTTTCTACCAACAACCAGAAATATGTCGGCACTTATTACAGTCACACCTGTCATATTCAATGGAATTTTCAAAAAGAACTTGAATCAGCCTGTTGCAACAGTAGTCCGGATCATTGATTTTCTGATAAAAACAAGCATTTATTACGAGAGTGCGATAATTGCGGTAACACGTTATCTCATTTCGATTTTACGTTCGTTTCAATTTGAGCCTTCTTTGTTTCTTTGTAAGATTTAAATTTAATCTTATATTTACCCACACTAGGTATATAATATAACCATTAAGAGGGCTCTTGTTTGTTGACAGTACAACATAACGTTAGTAAACAGCTTTAATCTCATTTAACTAAAATAAAAAATTACAACCGCGGATACGTGTGCACTATGCACGTAAAGCTGGATACACACTTGAGATATTAAAACTTCAGCACACCAGTGGCCGTGACAAATACACGTGGCGAAACAGTACGATACTATGTACCCAGTATACAATATGTGACATGGCTATTACCGTCTACATTACAACTTTTGCCTCGTATAAACTGAAAATAGAAATTGACCACTAAAGAGGAATATTCCGGACGAACATTACAATGTAGACTCATCTTAACGTTTCATAATCTTAGAGACAGAATTAAATGACAGTGGAGTCGAGACAAAAGAGTTGCGTAATTACCACACGAGTAGAAATTAGAAACGCTGCAAAAGATGTTACCGTATGAATATGACGTGACGTTAAACTAATGTTAGGAAAACGCCAAGTAAAATAGTACATGTAACATTTTTGAATAATGCG